AAGTGTGTGGTGAGAGACGGGGTCGAATCCAAGAGGAGTGGCGTCAGTTGACGTGCCTAGGGAGAGGTTGTAACCGAGCACTTGAGGAGGAGGACACGGGCTAGGTTCCTACACTTAGTGTGTAAAGTGTGATTGCATAGTGTTTGTGTAGTGTGAGAGTTTTCGGTGATCTTGTAAACCGAGTGTGTAGAAGTTCCGGCTTCCAAACCGGATTGTGATAGTGGATATCTCCTCAAGGTGAGGAGCGGGGACATAGGTCGTGGTGACCGAACCTCGTAAACATATCGTGCGTTTGTGTTTTGCTTAGCGTATTTTTAGTCATCTTTATTGTTCATTTACATATCATATTTCTTCTTGCAAGATAAAATTGATCAACACAATTTTAATTAGCTTTTAATTGGGATTAGATTAGCATAAGACCCTAATCACCCCCCCCCCTCTAGGGTCTAACAGAGCCGACACTTCTCATAGCACAACGCATGCTGATGGAGCCGACACTTCTCAGCCTCATACACAACCAGATACCCAGATCGTCGAGGCTCATCAGCATGGACAAAGGGGGTGAGGACGGGTAGGAAGAGTGAGGGGAAGGGGTAAGAGAGGGAGAGGAAGGAGAGAATGACTTTTGGGATGTATGTGAATTTCTTTTGTTCAAATTCGTTACTTGTGTGAATTTCAAGAACGATATGGTTAGACTGTTCAAATTTGTTACTTTTGTGGATCGATTATTGTTTATATATGTGATTTTCGTGTGTATTGTTTGATTCATGTTGAATTTTATGAATATTGTTGTAATTCAGTATATATGTAATTTTCGTGTGTATTGTTTGATTCATGTATATTGTTATGAATAAGGCATAAAATTTATGTATATTATTGTGAATGAGACGGAAATATGTGTGTATATTGTTGTGAAATTTTTTCATGTATATAAAAAACATGCACGCATTCTATGCATGTTTTTTAAACCTGCAACTCCACGGGGCTTCAATTCCTGTGGAGTTGCAGGCTATATTCCAGAGAGCAATGGTCTCTGGAATATAGCCTGAAGCTTCACGGGACTTCAATTATATTCCAGAGAGCAATGCTGTCTGGAATATAACCTGAAGCTTCACGGGACTTAAAATACCGTGAAGTTATAAGTTTCACGGGTTTTGAAGCCCCGTGAAGCTTTGACGCTCCTAATTAGTTTGGTTATGCGGGCTTAAGCTTCACGGGACTTCAAGTCCCGTGAAGTTTATTTTAACTTTTTTTCACCAAATTCGACCTAGTTTCAGTCAGTTGGTGAAAATGGATCGAATTTGGCAAATATTTTCAAAACAGGTCGTTTTTGATAAATAAGTTTCTAAAGAGGCCTAAAACGAAAATTTGTCCTTTTGCAAACTTTGTGAATAGTACAAGCTGAATAAGGGGATGTTTGTTTGCCAAAAAAAATAAGGAAATGTGGTGCCACATGGGATTTAGGGAAATGTCAATAGTGCCACATCAGATTTTGGTTTCAAGGGATTTTCAATTTACAAGTTTGTTTCATTGTGTGATTTAAAGAAATGAGAGTGCCACGTAGGATGCCGCGTCAGATTTTGGAGAAAACTCATTTCAGACCAAAACCCTCTGAAATGGGGTGGAAATGTCACATCGGGCAATATTTAATTGCCCAAAACACTGTTGAAACGGCGGCTGAAGATTAAAATACAATATTTAAATGCTGAATTCACTATTGAAATGACGGCTGAGTTATGTTTTCTTTTTCTTTTTCTTTCTTTTTTGTTCAAACAAACCCAAGAAATGGAAATGTAGGATTAAAATGCAATATTTAAATGCTGAAATCATTATTGAAACGATGGTTGGGTTTTACATTTCTTTGATTTCAATGTGAAATAAACGAAATAAAAAAATACGGGAAACCCTATGAAATGTCCTGAAATGGGTTTTCAAACATTGTTTTCCATTTCTTTTTTTTTTCCGAAATGTACCGAACAGACCCTAAACTAAAAACGTCAAGCGAAACCATCTTGCTTTTTCCCTTTTTTTTGTTCTGCGTCCTCAGAATCGAAGCGAGCATCCCTTTGCTTTTCTTAAAAAAGAAATGATTATGATTTCGCCCGTATCGAAGTGCGTCGTCGGATACTTATTCTGTTGTCGATGTCTGAGGTTCTTGTCCTTGAGCACCCTGTGACGTGTGAAGTTTCTCGCTAAAGAATCAAGGATAGGAACATTATTCCCCTTAGATCGTGCAAAAATTATTTTGGACTTGGTGCTCGGCGCATAACGCTTGGATAACTGAGCTTTCGAACTTGTATTCTGAAAATGGTTTTATCAAAATAAGGTATTCTGATGCGGCAGACTTGGTTGCTGTTTTGCTCATTTTCTTTGGTCTCGTTCGCTGAAATTCGGGTGGCTATACTCCCTGTTAAGTATCATTTCCTCCTACATGAGACCATATCCATCTACATTCTGCTTTTGGTCCAGTAAATTGTATTCAAAGATGCAGTTGCTCTCTGACATAGTAAAGGGAATGCACCTGGGCCACAAACTTTGTTGGTTATCCGCATCAATCATCCTTCCCGTACGAGAGGTCACAGTTCGGAATCTCGGCAAAAGCAGCTTCCACTTTCAAGCGCGATTTCAAGAAATGCCGACCGATTGCGCATTCATTCGCTGCATCCCTAACTTTTCGAGGCTTAATGGCCCGCAAATGCTCAGGCAGCAGCTCTGCTTTATATTTCTTTTGCTTGCTTCTTATTTTTTTATCTCCAGCTCTATATCCTTCTTTGTTTTCTACGAGATCATTGTCCTGTGTGAATTAAGGGAAAGTATAGAGAATTACATGGACTATTTCTCCGTTACATCTCACATGACTTCTCTTACTTCATCTTTTGGCAGCCTATGACTACAGTTGGAACTACTCCACTGAGCACGGGGCTGCCTGTATAACTTTTTTCAGAAATTTTGGGTTGAGTAGCATATTTCAGGAAAGAACTCTGATCGGGCAACATTGTGAAAAATCTCCTGAAATACAAATTGACACATTGTTATGCTGGTATTGGAGATGTAGGTATAAGAGAATAGACTAGTCCTTTGCGTTGATGCATTGCGCTGTGTGGCTTAGAATTTCTAGGCTCCGATCCAAACTAGCGCCTTTAATAGAAAAGATTTTTCTGCCTAATCGTAAACAGTAAACTACGTTTATGAGATCTATGAGCTTAGCTAAAACGGGAAGAGAGAACTCAATGCGCTGAAAATTTTTCCTTTTATTTCTCTTTTCAGCAAGTGACTGTTGTTCATTGACATATTATTCGACATATCTTGACGTACTGTAACTTCTGTGAGAACGTAGATACTGGCTGGGGAAAAAACTTTGGATAAATTTCAGAAAACCCCCCAAGAAGCCCATTTTGAGATACTACAAGTAGGGGTGAGCATAGTTCGGGTCATACGGAACAAACCAACCGAACCGACCGAAATTTGACAGTTTTGTTCGGTTTTTATTAGAGTTCGGTTGTGAAGTTTTTTCAACCCGAACCGACCGAATCGACCGAATTGTATTACCCATTCAAATTATTATTTATATCCGTTTAAACCCGACCCATTATAGTTCATATAGAGTTACTTCGCTGCACCTTGATATCTTTTTCTCTCACGTGACCTAATAGCGATAAAATACCCCAACAATGGTGTCCTCTCCAATTCTAGGGTTTTTGAGTATCTCTAGTTCTCTCTCTCTCTCTCTCTCTCTCTCTCTCTCTCTATATTACATATTCGCTTTTTCTACTTTTGATCAATTCATTTTTGATGTAAGAAACTTAAATCATAATGTTTATTCTAACATTTTCCTAATTTTTCTCCTCGATTGATATATTTTTAGATCAGACTTCTCTTTGGATCAGACTTAAAATTTTATAGAAACTATACCTAACATCCAAGTTATTGCATATTTTTTATTTACTTTGTCTATCGGATTGAGATTACTTTAATTCGTAATGTAAGTTTTCTCTAAAAAAATTATGTAATCTTTGGTAGGAATTAGATTTTGATTTCCACATCTAATATTCATCTAATATTCAGTATCATTTAATAGTTTATGAATTTCAATAAATTAAAGTGTAAGAGACTTATTTCTTCATCAACAGATGAGAGGTGAAATTAAATTTGGACATAACATTTGTACCCAAGTAAAAACCGATCGAACCGAACCGAATCGAACCGAACCGACTTGAATCGGTTCGCTTCGGTTTTGAATGATAGGTAGTTCAGTTCAGTTTGGCCAAATTTGGTCAAATACCGAACCGACTGACCGATCACACAGCCCTAACTACAAGAAATTTGAAAACATGACTTCACCCCAGAACTTCTCAGATAACCCACAAAAACACGGGGTTAATTTGGAAGTATATTTAGAAAACTAGAAAACCTTACGGGGCCAAACATCTTGGTGGCTTTGTGAAATATACGCAACAAACTATTTACGTTATAAAAATGCATACCTTGGATTCGATGATAATTTCACTTTGCATTAAACTACATTTAGTCTTTTACTAAAAAATATATTTTCATAAATAAAACTCTAAAACTTGAAAGCTAACTTATTATGAACGTTCGGATCGGAAGTGAAATCTAACCATAAGCAAACCCTTGTGCCTCTTAACAATATTCTCTACCCGCAAATTGGTCAAGGCCTTCCTGAAAATAGAAGCAAAAATAGGCCCACTGATTAAACATTACGGGTCTAAGTATACTAATAAAAAAGTTGAAAGATAATAATTAACCACCTATACTACAAGTCTACAAGTGATGTATTTGCAGTTAACCCCAAATTATCTAACCATCAAAATGCGAAAAAGGAGCTGCTTTCTAGCAAAAACTAGCATCGCGTCACTCCCAACACTTGCTGCTGCTAAAAACCCCAATGCAATCCTCATGAAAGAACGAAACTATATACAGTTCAACATGATAATTGCCAAATTTTGTACTGACATAAAAGTTCGCACATAGACAAACAATACCACAACGAACTATCTTCAACATTACTCCATATACTTCAATTCCTACCGGTTATTCTCTTTATACAATGTATGAAAAAAGTCCCCTTCAACAAAATCAAGCGCTTGAGCTTATCAAGAAGAAAAAAAAAAGAGGAAAGGATTTAAAGAAAAAAGAAACTCCCAAGCCCTATTATGGATCGAAAGATAATACGAGCTTGTTCCTTGTCAAAAAAACCAGGAACAATCTCCAACTCTGCAAACTCCCTCAAGCTATCAAGTCTAACATATGCTCAAGTTACTGTCTGCAGACAAGTCCACTTTGCCCGAAACAAAATTGAACAAAGAAAACCACAATATAAAATAAGAAAACAGCACAGGCATCTCATTTGTTATGCATGCACGCCATTGCCATTGGAGTAGTAACTTCCGTTTAGAAGCATTTTCGTGTTGCCATTTTGGTATGCCTTTGGTTTGGCCACACCGTTGCTTATAGTAGTTCTTGTAATCAAGAACCTGTTATTGACAGGGGTGGGAGTTTGCAGCCATGCACCCAATTGCCCGCATGAGGCCTTTATGAGGCCTGTAATATTACATAAAGAAATATAAGATAAAAGGTTTAATATATGCAATTATGTGATGTACATGATTAAACTATAGAAACCACGAAAGTTAACATGGTCTCAGTTTAATAAAATAGTGCATCATATGCAAAGGGCTACAACGCAAAAAAAGACTAGGAGATGGAATGTATTTGTAAATTGTGAGCAAAATTGAAATGCTTTAGATTTGAGTATATCATTACTGCTCACTGGCTTAACTAATTGTATAATAGGCGAGGCAATGCGAAAGATGGAGAATATGATATTCATAAAGAAATAATTCTGGCTTTTAAATAGACAATAAGTACCTTATTTAGCAATCATCGTTATTAGTTTTTCTCCACATCATCAAAAATATAAAATAAACTGATTCAAAGGGGTATGTATAACAGCACGCATGCTAAAAGGATAGTTGTACGTGTGTTGTTTTCTTTTTGCATACAAATGCAAATATGAATATTGATCGGATGCTAAATCTAATACTTGTATTAAATAAAATAGATTGTGTATAGGGTTCAAATATAACTAAATATTACTGATTATGATCAATGTCTTGAAGGAATTATGATAACAACCTTTAACTTTAAACTGCAATCCAATGAAAATCATTCATGCCCCTCTACATAATATTAGACAGGGTTATGCCGTTGCGCAAGCTAGATATTCAGATGTTGAGTGGGATGATAGAAAAAGCAATTCCATGTCTATATTATATGTTAACAGAGCAGATACAGATACATACATTTTGCAAAACTACGAATATGGAGTTGAATTGTAAATAGGACCATCCATAATCCATTCAGATTCCTAACTGCAAGTGGACCTAAATTCCATACACCGAGATACACTTGTTATTATTAGTTGATCAAAATCTTTGATCGCTTCACAGAAAAGCAAAGGAGCCACTTCACTAGTTACAGAGCTTGAGATTCGTCGTTGAGTTCTCCTATCCAAGTTTAGAAGTGAATTTAAGAACTGTGCACTATTTGAAAGTATTAATTCGAAAACAAGATTAGGAGGGGAATAGTCAGAAGCAGGAGAATCATGCAGAATGAGCAATTACTTATAACGGAACCAAGGCCCAAAGACAATTTTAGTCATGGAGATTTTTCGTAAAAATTATTTCTTAGGAGTTACGAGACAGAAAGTAAGATCTTTAGTAAAACCTGAGAAAAGTCAGAAATTACCGTAGAAAAGAGGTGAAGGTTTTCCAGGCCTTGATTTATACTCCGGGTGAAACTGAACTCCAACATAATAGGGATGAGTCGGCAGCTCAAGAATCTGCTCAAACATTAATATATTAACACATAAAAAATAAAACAGAAATAAACTTTTCAAACAATGACCAAAGCATAAAGAAGCAAAAAGAAAATTACCTCCATACGATTTCCACTTTCATCTTTACCAACAAAGTTGAGGCCAGCACTTTCAAGTTTTGATACCATATCAGGATTTACCTAAAACAGGAGATCCCTTGGTTATCTAACAGATTGCGACTATGAACATACCATTTGACATAAATGTAGAATAATAATGGGACCAACCTCATATCTATGTCGATGCCGTTCATCTACATAATTGACACCACCATACCTAATAAAAGTTCAACAATAGGAATCAGTCTCTCATCAACCATGAGTATTTTAAAGAATACCGACCTCAAACATCACATCATAAGTTCATTTAATATATGCTTACAGCTTTGCAGACTTGCAGTCTTTAACCTGGAAATAAGTCCTTCTTGATCCTAGTCTCATTGTAGCCCCCATATGGGTTTTTGAACCCTACAAATTACAATCCCGGTTACATACTTGTAGTTAAAAAAAATATTGAAAACTGGAAACATTTTGAAGGATGATAAGGGAGTACGTCTGGCATAAATATCACACATGGATTCTTTGCATCTGGATCAAACTCTGTGCTATTAGCATCTTGTAAATTCATCACAGAACGAGCATACTCGATGACAGCAATCTGCATGCCAAGACAAATGCCAAGAAATGGGACATTGTTTTCTCTAGCATATTGTGCTGCAAGCATTTTCCCTTGGACCCCTCGGTCACCAAAACCTCCGGGAACTAATACACCATCCGCACCCTGGCAAAAAATTTTATTGATATGGTTAGAGGATTTATCGTGTAATAATACAAATGCAGGAGTAACACCTGATAGTAGATGCCTTCCTACCTTCAGAAGATTCCACGCTGCTTCATAAGCATCAGGGGCCTAGAGAAATTAAACGTTTCGATTATTTAATACAGGAATAAAAAGGGTTACTTTCACAAAACACCACACCCCCCTTTTCTTTTTGAGTTTTTTTTTTTTAGGGGGGGGGGGGGGGGGGGGGGGAAAGCCCCTCGGGGGCACTAAGGGAGTTTTATGAGACACCACAAAGTTCCGGCTTCTTGTGAGATAAAAAAAATTCAGGAGTGTGCAAAACCCACCGATATCAGGGTTTCTGTGAAATTAACCCAATGAAAAAGGTAAACACTGAGCACTAAAAAGGAACCAATCAATGAAAAAAAATATAAACCTCTTCTTCGGTTGCATCTTCAAGGTCAGAAGCAGCAACCCAGTCCACTACGAGTTTCTTATGGCATTCTACGGAAGCATGCAGAAGGGCCTGAAAATAGTTCATAAGCCAATCAATATTGCGCAAAAATCATAGCAAGCATTAATAGAAACCAAGAGGAGCCTAATGCAAATGAGTTGGAGAATGATCATAAATTACATGACATTATTTATCACCTTTAGCAACTAATTAATTGCAAGAATTAGCTACTTTTAATGCAGATGGTAGGTTCATTATAGAAAACGGAGTACATCTTTGAGATAGAAAATAACCAAATCCCTAAATGGACTTGCATTCTTTAAACGACAAGAGAGTCCACAAAAATTTCAAAGCCATGGAATGTTTTTAATATAGACAAGTCAAAAATAACCTTTAAGACAGATAGATAAGCATCAGAAAGACCAGTATATTTCCCAACCATAGCAATCCTGACCTGTAAAATACATAGAATCTCATTTTGTTAAGTCTACGTAAGTACCAAAGCATGAAACCATGAGTTCAAAGAAAATACGAAACTTACAGGGTCACGAAGTGTATCACAGAGTTTAGTCCTAGCTGTCCATTCCGCCAGCACTGGGTATCGATCAACACTGCAAACAAAGAAAAGTTTACTCCCCATTCAGTCTGTGAGGACTCTAATAAAAAGTCCAAAGTAATAATTATAGAAGACTGAAATAAAAGAGCTCAGTTTTATTAGGCAAACCTTTGAAGATTCAATTCTTTTAATATTGCTTCATGCGCCTTTTGCTCCTAGAGAAATAAAATACGACAAGAAATATGTTTCTTGGTAAGGTATTCTAGCTCAACATAAGCTTGACTTAGCAAAAGTAAAGTAAGCTACCCTTAGAAGCAAAGGAATGTGCCAGATATTTGTTACATCATGAAGAGTAATGATATTTGCAGCCTGCAAAATGAATATGAATCAAATTAGCATCTTACAAATTTAATAAGTGCCGTTTCCTTCTAAAAGAAAATAAAAGAAAAGAAAAGAAAAGAAAAGAAAAAGAAATTGAACAATTAATCAATTATCAAGTTACAGTACCGGAACATGGCAAAATCTTGAGAGTTTTTCTATTACGTTTTCTTCCAGTGCCTGTTGCAATAATTCGAACAAACATATAAAAAAATAATAAGAAGATGCGCAAAGAAAGAATTGAGTGGGAAGAAAAAGAGACGTGCCGATGAACTGCGGCAAGCCAGAATATTTGGTGTCAACCCAAGTCCTCTCAAACCTCGAACACTATGCTGGGTTGGCTTAGTTTTCTGCATCAATTTAATAAGTTAAAACTCCAATACCATGAAATTTAAAAGACAAACTGAAATTCTGATGATAGATAAATTTTGATTAAGCAAAAAGAAAGATTCTAGAGATATATACCTGTTCTCCAACTACATTTAAAACTGGTACAAGACTCACATGAACAAGGCAGAAATTACCAGGGCCTGAATTAAGAATCATTACATAATCAGTAGGATAGTTGACAGACAACAAAGCAATCAGATCTGAACAAGCAAGTGCAGAGATTTCTCACCTACACGATACGAAAATTGTCCCAATGCTTCAATAAATGGCATTGATTCTATATCACCTGCATCAAGAATGTCACGAAAATTTAGCTGAAAAATGACATCCAAAAGAGTTACTATTTGCTATCTTATATATAAATAAGCAACTGAGAAATGATTGCCACCTATAGTTCCTCCCAATTCTATAACACAAACATCAGCAGGTCCTTCTTTGCCATCCACAGGTATCTTTGCAACTCGTTCGATCCACTCTTGTATAGCATCTGTAATGTGTGGCACGACCTTTAAAAACAAATAATGGAACTAGTTCAGAATCAAAGAGTGCTTTCTTCATTTAATCCATATAAAAAAATGAAGTAATATATCAATGTCATTCACAACTGTCATGTACCTGGACTGTTTTCCCTAGATAATCTCCCTTTCTCTCCCTGTTAATGACGGACTATCATCAATCACAACATCAAAAGAAACAAATATGAGCATGTGCTTACAAAGTTTAAGCTTATCAATGCATAATAAAACACAATCAACTCTATCAAATAAATAGCACCTGATAAATCTTTCCAGTGGTAATGTTATTATCACGGGTTAATTTAATGTCTAGGAATCTTTCATAGTTCCCGAGATCCAAGTCCACCTTCAAGACAAAAGAAATAGTTATTTAAACGCATAAACTTAAGACGACAGAAAATTGTTATGAATAAAACAAAGCAACTTTCTAGGATTTTTCACATATGGCCAAAGAACCTGTAACATCACAGGTCAATGAACAGCAAGAAAGGTACCAAAATTGCTTAAGCCAAACATAATCGTCTGAAGTAAGCAGAATTTGGTAAAGAACTCAGATTACAAATAAAACAAGATAAAGTTAAAACACAAGGTTTTAAACCCAAGGAATGAAACAGTAGGTCAAACATTGAAAAGAAAAACAGTAAGAGGATAATAGGTCAAATACATGTATTGCTGAAAAAAATCCACAGGAAGAACACATTCAAAATTACAATGTCTTAAAATTTTCTTACCTCACCACCATCATCTAAAACGAAAACTTCTCCATGCTCAAAGGGTGACATGGTTCCCGCATCAGTGTTCAAATATGGATCTGCAAATATCCATTGGGCCAAATATCAACTGTCACTATGAGAGAAACCACAAAAGAGGAAAATATATAAATAAAGTGTGAACTTTTATCCAAATTCTGATTCGAATTTTTCAAGATGGTATCATAGAGTCGATTATTTACAAGTGTAACCCTATAGACAGATAATAATAAACAAAGACAAAAAAAATTAGCGTTTGTTTACTTCAATCTATGTTAAGCCTAGTTAAATAGCGAATGATGGACCCTGATAATTGGGAGGTTCCAATATGGCTTCTAAAATCTTAGGTTGTATTCCCATATCAAATAATAATAATAATAATAATAGACCCTGTTGACTCACAGTTGCAACGGAACAAACATAAGCACCAAAGATAACACATAGCACCGCACTCCACTCTAATCAAGGAAAAGGAAAACAAAAATGTATCCCATAGTTATCAATTCATTCTTTTTCTCTTCATGTTTCCGGATCCAAAATTACCTTAAACCAGAAAAGACGAAGTATATCTGAATTGTTATCAAGTTTAAACGACATTGAATGGGGAAACATTTTTGTAAATATAAAGGGTACAACAAGGAAACAGTGGTAGATTGTTAAAGAGTAGATTGTTTCAAATTTAAAACAACAAAGATTTGTGTCCCCTGTGTTGTTTTCAATAAAAGCCTCGGATGCCTAGCATAAAACATTGCCCACCGTTTAACTTCAGTTTCTCCTGAAATATGTCTATTTTCATTCATAAGCATTATTCTTCAATCCTCTAGTAATAACGTAAATAGTGAAAATTAATGAGGAAAAAAAAACAACTTTCACCTAAAAAGCATATCCAAAGATCAATGGTGGCTACAATGAAGAAAGGCACATGTTGGAAAAAGAGAAAAACATGGAAGCTCACAATTTCCATGGTATAAACATCAGAACAATGGCCAAGACATAGAATACATTACATGTCTCGTAAGAAGCATAATTAAACAAAGATTCTGCAAGATCTTTCTAGTAATAATCCAACCCTTGCACATAAGTGGGACCCCAAAAAATTTTGCTAATCCCCTTGCAGATAATGAACATGAACTCCACTCTCCTCCCTTGTCGCTTATAAACTTTGTAGATCAAAAGAAACTAAAGAAACAATCCAATCCCAATCAAATATGAAATTTAGGTACATTTTCGACTTTAAAAAATGTGCTGAGAAGCTAAGACCAAAGAAGCCTACTGCGAAGCTAAGACCAAATAAGCCTACACAAGAAAATACCCTTCATGAAAATTAATCATAAAAAGATAATAGAAAAAAGCAAAATAACGTAGAAAAAAAATCCCCACTAGATTACATGCTCATCGGAACACCAACCAAATGTAGGGAGCCAGAACTCTTGAATCTTCTTTCCAAAACTCAAAACTTTTTGAGCACATCACATCCCTCAATCTCGATAGCAAACAAAGTTACAAATCCACTTTTTTAAAACCTTACTGTTAACTTACCTTTTTGGTTGAGCTAGCCAAAAAACCACTTTCGTTCAATAAAAGAACCTACCATTCAAAATCCTAATCTCCCATCAAAAAGATGAAAAGGGTATCCCAAGATTTATCTAAAAAAGCATAACAAGATCAACCCAAGTGCCAAAACCCCAAAAAATATAAACAAGTACAAAAGACAAAAAAAATAGGATAAAAATAAAAAACCCCCGTTACTCCCAAAAAAACACCCAGAAACCCTCACTAAAGAAGAAATAACAAATGAGTTCATTGCAAAAAGGGATTTTTAAGAGAGAAATTGCAAAAAGTACCAATCTTGATGGATGTAACTCGAAGCCCGCAAGCTTTGAGAACAACTCCTACGCTGCTCGCCGTCACTCCCTTGCCAAGCCCGCTAACGACACCCCCAGTTACTAATACGTACTTCATCTCTCTCAAACTATTGAGAATACAAAGGGGGAGATCGATAATGGCGAAGCGTAACTCTTGTTTCAATGGGGGGAAAAATGGAGGCGAGCAGAACGAAGAGGATAGGCAGAGGTTGAGGAGATTAAATACCCTCTGCCCTCAACCCTTCTCCCTTTGTCTCTTCTTTCTTGGGCTAAAAATCTCGGATTCGGATTCTCTCCACTAAAAAATAGGGTAGGGACCATTAGATAATCATAATTATTGATTATCTAATTAATGATTATGATTTTTTTTAATAAAAATTAGAAACGAGTACAATACACGGATGTATAGTAAGTATTAGATTTAGATTATATCATAATTGTCTGCTAAATAATCAACGATTGAGATTAAAAATAGTGATCTTTCCACTATTTTTTTTTAGTGAAGAGGATCTAAATCCAAAAATCTCATCTTTATTATTTATTTATTTTTTGGGTTTTTAGATGGGGATCCCAATATCGTTCAATATTTTAAATTAGTCCCCATCATAATTAAATTTATTATTTGGGCCCCATGGTAAGCTATTGTTCCTACAAGTTTCAGACCTGTGCGATGCACGGGGTGAGATGATCTTCCAGTGATTCTCTTCACCTTCAACTGCCAACAGCTCAAATCCAAAGAAATAATAAGGAGCCCCCTTCCATGAGAACTTACATTCGAAAACATCTTTAATCCCAAAAAACATTAACCAAAACTCTGTTTACTCCTTGTCATCAAGAGCATTAGCCATATTAGGTCATCAAATATGAGAGTTTACAGAGGTAATTCCTTACGTTGGGTTAATCACTGATCAATCAGGGTTAAGGGATCAGATGGAAAAAAAACCAAGGTAATTAATGACTAATGCGGTAACGTATGGGATTTCTAGGACTATTTTGCAATTTCAATGCTTTGAGGGACTAAGTTAAAAATAGGAAAGATGTTGTGGGTTTATCTGAATAATAACATTTTCATTTTAACCTCACTTCTTTTTCTTTTTATCTCTCTGCTTATGACGTACATGAGGATTAGTGAGTATTAACATTTTTTAAGAAGTTAGGGTTGTTGCTCTTATCCACGCTAGGGCTTCACATGAGACGTGGATGTAGTTAGGTGGATATGGAATTTGATAAGTTGTTAGTTGGCAATTCTATCCTTTTGTTTACACAAGCAACATGGACTATTTTTTGCATGAGCTATACTAATTGGGTTAAGGCTAGGGGTAAACACTAGTGATGGCGTTAAACAATATTATCCCATTTTACTTAGGTTACATCTCACCCTTAATTTGGCCTTTAGCTACCAAAAAATATAAGATTTGCCCTTTTCATTAGCTCTTTCCAATGTGAAGAGGTAGGGTTAGAGGCCTATTGGTGCTGGGAGGTATTTTCAAGGGAACAAAATAATTAGTCAAAAGTCGTCTGATTAGTCGGCTCTAAGTTGGCTGATCCTCTGGCTTGAGTCCTTTGTTTTGATCAGCGAAATCCTATGTGGCGCGGATTCACAATTTTTTTTTTAATTCATCATTAATTGGTATTGAAATTTATGCTAATTTCTCTTGTGGGTTTTCTTGACTATGGAATAGAAAAATGGCATGTGAGAAGAATAATTTGTGGAGTTTGTTCAATTGGAAAAGTTGAGCTCATGCAAGAGGTTCAATCTTGAAATAGAAGTATAAGTTTTTGTTGCTGGTTGATGGTTATGATTTTTTCTTTTAGTGCAAATTAGGAATGAGTGCAATACACGGGGGTATGGTAAGTGTTAGATTTAGATTGTATCATAACCGCCTACTAAATAATCAATGTTTGAGATTAAAAGTAGTGGTCTCTCCACTACTTTTTTGTAGTGGAGAGGAAATCAATGTTTGAGATTAAAAGTAGTGGTCTCTCCACTACTTTTTTGTAGTGGAGAGGATCCAAATCCAGTTACTTCGAGTGCAACGAAAACTCCAGTGTGAAGTGGAAGGATTTATACGATATTGAGGGTGTGTGTAAGGGAACCACGATAAAATTAAGTCAGGGCTTGTCATGACTCTATTTTTAAACAAACCTGGCTCTTATTTTGGACCAACGAGAAGGTTGTTTGAATTAAAACGTATTTTAAAGTTAATTCTGGCCTTAGAAAATTAGGTCAATATTGGCTCAGTTTTATCTAAACATATTTTCTTCTCAAAATGAGACCAAATTTTCTTCTTAAATTAGAGTACGTGTGCATAAAAAGAGATGAAAGGAGTCGCATGGGTTTGGATGCATGCATGAGTGGTAATTTTAGATCTGCTTAGTGCTCAGTTTGTCTATTGTTAGGCCCTTAAAGGCTTAAACTACCATGATCTCCATGTGAATGTGATCATCTGGGGAGCTTACAAGATGGCATGGATAACTACAATTACGCTTGCAACACTTCAAAAAGCAAAAGGTTCTAACTACGAAATCATGAGATTCTGTTACTATCTATTCAGTGGTGTCACAGACTCTCGAGACACCACTAGATCACGTATTTTTACACATATTTACTAATTAAAACACTGTTAGAACTAGGATAAGAACATCACTGAATTAGGATACAGAGATACTGCTGAGACAAAATTCTAAATCCACCACTACGTACTAATTATGCTCTATGAATGCAATTGTACGTAAATTTCTGATATTATGCTCCATGAATGCAATTGTGAATTCCTGAATAGCCAAAGAACTTGTGCCTGGCTGTAGTATAGGTTTATGTCGGAGTTTCCTTTACTTTATTTTATTTCTCCAGAAAAGAAAATAGCGAAGGAAAAAAAAATATATACTTGTACCTAAGCACAATGGTTAGCACTTAGCAGTCCGAGTGCACAAATTAAGTATTAAAAGACAAAAATGTTTTATATAAAAATTATCCAGATCCAATACTATTTTAAGACCGGACAGCCAAATAACGAAACCGAGTAAGAATAAGATCAATGTATAAAGTTCGAAAAGTTATTTTTATTCTTTTTAACGCAAAAGAAGTTTGAAAAGTTTGGTTGTTGCCCAGAATTGAATAATAATGTTTGTTATTGCCAAATAAAATATAATATATACTTAAAAGAAAAAATGTATATGAGCTGACAATTCATTTTGCAAAACGATTTATCTTCTAATGACAATAGTGTTTAGGTCACCTAGGTTTCACATCGAATAGGTGTGTGGTCTTGTGTTTGTGATTGAGTAGCTTATTTTACGATATGAGCTGTCAGCTCATACCTATTGCCCTCGTCACTAGAAGACTATTTTCATATTCCTAATCAAACATCTAGATTGTTTGCTGCTTTCATCAATAACAGCAAACCTAGACTCGACAAAACTATTTATTGTTATAGAAACTTGTCAATGCACATGGCTTGACAATTTATTAAACTCGTAATGCTTATGAACCTTTTTAACTAGGAATTGTTTGCTTCAACCGAGTTGTTTTGTAGTTGTGTGCGTTCACATGTCAACTTATGCTAGCGGTTCCCATTGCTGAACAGTTTAGTTAAAAACTCACGGTAATTTTTTTGAAGATGTAGTGTTTAACAACTCGTTGATAAAACTGGGATCAGGATCCAGTATTATTCTAAACCAAACGAAGTTTGAACAAAAGGGAGGTTGGTCAATAGAAAACCAGTTTAACTGTCATTTAATTTTTTGGATTAAAGGAAAAATAAATCACTACTAACTCAGATCTTACCACACTTTTTCTCCAAAATGAGACTAGCCGTGAAAGAGCCAAGGTTTGATTCCCATGCGCGTGAAAGGCGTAGGTGCTATATATGGTTGTTATGTTGGTGCCACGTGTGCCAACAATATATTTTCCTTTTAAAAAATGAGATTAGGGTTAGCTATATTCTCATTTGAGGAATTGTCAAAACACACCCTCTATAAATAGTTTATATATAGGATATTTCAATGTCAATATCTACTAATTTGTCGTAGATTTGTGTAGCATAATTCACCTTTGGAGACATCATTCTTGAAACCTGAAATTTGGTTTTATGCATGCTAGCTAGGTACTGACTACATCAAGTAGATGAGTTAATTGAACAGTGAGCTTTGGTGCATTGCATTCTTCACTTGAGACAAATCAACATTGGGACTAGCTCTTAACTAATTTCTAAACCTACCACGAGAGTAGAAGGGCCTACTTGGATCACGGACTCGAGACCTTTAGGTCTTCAATTGCCATATCGGAAAGCATGGAAACAGAGGATCATGTGCCCTTTTATATCTTCATTCGAGTCCATTTACCCTACATTAGCATGCGCCCCCCCAAGGGAGTCACATGGTTAAACACTCAAATACCGATCCAAACATCCTAGCCCCATGTGTCATGGGGCCTAAGTCATAACTATACAGACTAGGGATCTTATCAGAAAGCCGCACGGTGCGGGATTCTGAAAGCCAAAGGAGGGCGGTAAAATGGCCTCGCTGCCGCCTCCCCCTGCTCATTACAAGGTGTGGCCCATCAGAGCCTTCTGCACCGTGCCAGATAGGATCGTTACTTTAAGGGGCTGTTTGTTTCTTTTTTTAGAGGGAAATGTGGGGAAAGCCTGCCAAAAGTGCAGCTTTGGACAGGCTTTCCACCCAAAAAAAAAAAAAAAAAAAGGAAACAAACAACCCCTAACTTATGAGGTGCAGGAGGTTTTGGTAGGGCCATTACTTTAACTTACGAGAAGAGTTAAACAATATTAATTTTGTGATGGAAACAAATTCACGTTGAGGGTAACCCTCCATATTTACATATATTTTTTATATTAAGTAAAGTAAAATGAAAAATTACGTGCGCTTCATTATCAATATTAGAGTCATCGATTCGTTCATTTTATCCTGTAGTTATTCAGTATTCAAATTGCACTAATGTTCCATGAGTTGAGAGAATCTTTCGATCAATGCAAAACATGTAAGTTACGTAGGAGATCAATGTACTAATCAAAGGTCCTCCCTTTAGATCAACCACCCGGCCGCTCTTTTTCTTTTTGTGGTTGCCCAGGAAGTAACATGGATATACAATTTAAAATCTTTTGAAAACTTTTTGACATTCCATTTTTTGTTCAGACTAGGATATTGAGTTTGTCCTTGTGTTGGATAGAGAAATATTGAGTTACGAGGAAGCTTGGCAAGAGAAAAGTGTATTCTGAATTAGTGT